AAAAGTTGGGTTGAACAAATGACGAATTATGTATCTTCGATTCGATTGCCTTTTAATGCGCATAATACACAAAAAAGAATAAAGAAGATTTCATAGGATCGACGAAACAGTTAGGATTAACAAAGCACAAGTGATTCACGGTAAGGAGAAAGGGTAGGCACGTGAATGCTTTCTCCCTTGTTCGCTAAACAGCATCGTCCTTTTGTCCACGATCACTGTCCATGACTTAGGGGAGGATTTCGTTTGATCCTCGCCATTAACATTTGTATAACGTTATAACTGTGTTACATCCGCAACAGCAACGTGCTTCTTGTACTGCGATAAACTTTGAGAGCCGTGCAACGTTTCGACATCTCAAGCACGTATCGCTGCTTTTGATGATTCTCATCATTGTTCGAGATAACGGAGGAAATGCGAATTGGAAATTCTTTCCCAATCCATGTATCTATTTGTTCCATTTTCGGGAGAAAAAAATACTCTTTCGTATTTTACTTTTTCATCTTCATTGTTTGAAACAGACGAATTTCTCATACGCTTCTCGAATAAATAATATTTCATTTGTCGAACTTGTTCTATTTTTGGAAAGAATCGTACCAGTTTTCCATTAACCCCTTCAGTTTTTCATAGTCAGTGTACGCAGAACGAACAGATCGATTTCTGAGCGTATTATAAATAAATAAGAATATTTCTCGCCGTTCGTAAAAAAAGAGAAAAAAAATAAAAGCGATTTTAAAAGAATAATTTCGACAGAAAAATAATACTGTCTGTTCCTTCTAATAATCTTCACCATCGAATCTTTCATATCTTCGATTTTATTTTTGCAACATAAATCGTCCAATCGTCGAGAGTTTCCCCGACTCGACTCCCCTCTATAACCAGCTCTCCACCCTCGACTTAATCGTCCATTAACCCCTGTCACTTCGTCACCTTCGAGCGAGTTTCTCCACCGCTGGTTAGAATTCTCGAATTTCATACACCGTACTCGCTTCACCCCTTCGATTTCCCGTCCGCTCGATGAAAAATGTCACGGCAGCCAAGCGTACCACGGCCCCGTCGTCCATTTATGGGACCGTGAACGAGCTTTTGGGACCCCGGAAGTAGTACCACGATTGGATAACCAGATAGTTTTATCACTTCTCCATTTACTTCCCTTCCCTTTCGTTGTTCGTCTTTCTCGTGGAGGATCGCGTTTTCATCCCCTTGCGCTGAATGACGGTAAATGGGGAAGGGTCGGTATTTCTCGATTCGACGAGATTTTCGCGAATTTCGTGGCTTAGAAATGGTTAGAGTTGAAAGGATAGGGTTAATTTAATTCGTTTCTCTATGAGAGATTTACAATCTCGGGAGAGGATATCTTTTTCTCCTCGTCGAAATGCGTGGAATTTTAGAGCAGACGATGAGATTCGATGTTTCTCGAGGACTCGTAGCACGCCGAGTTGGTTAACGCGGTTTTCTCCAGGGGATGAAAGTTTAACATCTTCCATTTCGCGGTTTTAAAATGCGTGGAGTCAAGGCGGTTAATTTAAGCTACGTGGAGAGATTTGAAACTTTTTATGTGTTGATTATATAAATTATATATATAGTTAGGAGTAGTAGTTACACATCCTCCTCTATAACATTTCTCTTATAGATAAAACGAGCCGATAAGAGAGAGAGTAACTTCGATGTATCAATTTTCCTTCCCGGGAAAAGATTCCCCCTCCCGAGTATCTTAACTCGAACAAACTTTTGATCGTATTCCAATTCCTCTTCCAGATCCTCTTTTTCAATGATATATCACTCGGACAAATAGAATAGATTCCTATCCATCCATTACACGTGTAAAACTGCCTACGTCGAGGGAAAAAACACCCCCTTCGCTTACACCTATCTCCACCTAAATACCTAATAAATAACACGCGGGAAAAAAAAAAAAGAAAGAAAGAAAATACGGTTACCATATCAATATCAATGGTCCCTCTTCTCTCCTTTCTTCTTCTTCTTCTTCTCCTTTTTTTCCCTCCCATCAAAACTCCGAAAAACACTTTATCGATTCCCAAACTACATTCCCCCTCCCCCTGGACTGGATGTCCCATCGGTTCCAGATTCCAGCCACGAAGAACTCTGAGAAAAGTCGCTGAGGCAAGCGTCGGATCCTACGATTTCATCCCCTTCCCCTCGCATAAAGCGAGAGCCCCTGTGCAGGGGTGGAAAAATCGTCTTACTTTTGACACTGAAAAATATAGTTCTCGGATATATGCGCCGTCAGAGGGCGAGGCGAGGCGAGGTCGGGATCCACTTATCATAAGGGGGAAAGGGGACGAGTGTCGGTCGAGTGGGTCGGCGAGAGGAGGGCAGGATACGCGTCGTACTCGTGTCATCGTCATCGGTATTCTTGACCGACATTTATGAAGCGATTAAGGGATGCGGAGGGATGCGACACGAAAACGAAGGGAGTCGTTACGAAGAGACGTATATATAAATCGTTTATTCGCTGAGAGGAGAATACGAATGAATTTATAAAGAGAGAAAAATGGATCTAACAAAAATTTCGATTTTAAAAGAAATTTGTAAGTAATAATAAGGAACGATCTTTCCGAGGGAGGGAAATTTGTTTAAGGAGGTAAAATCGTTGAAAGAAAATCACGCTAGTTATTTGTACGCGATCGATATCTTTACAGCTGGTTTTTATCGGTTCTTTCAATCGAAAATCTTAATCGAGATCAATTCAATTCTTGGACAGAAGGGAATCGTTTTACTTTCTCTCCTTATCCAAATTTTACAATCCATATGTACGGCGTATAAATTTGTAATGTATCGATTCTCTCTGGAATTAATTATATTTTTACATAGGTGGTTTAAAACCACCACCGATTCCATCATTGTCATCGAAAAACAATTTATATCCATATTTTCTTAGGAGAAAATAGGAAAATAAAAAATGCCTCTTCCCCCAGTTAAAACTTCAATCTTCACTCCATCCAAATTCGACAACCCCTCCCCTTTTTCTCGGAATCCACTAATTCCAAAATACAACACGAATATTGTCCACGCAACGTACGTTTGTACTACACGTGGCAGTGACAATTGGCGACGATCGGTATCCGTGACCGACATTTACAAGGCGATTAGGGGATGCGGAGAGGGTGCATACAAAGACGGGGTCGACAGGGGTTCCGGATGACAATCGTTGTTACGAAGAAGCCCTTCGCGCCGTCGAGATTACCGTCGAACAGGCGGAAATGGCGCTGATGGAGGGACTTGACTTTGTCAACTGGAGCGCGAGGAAGAGCTTCCTCCTGTTGCTGCCGCCATTGTTACGTAAATACGTAATACAGCTGGTACGGTTGAATTGCTTGCTTTATTAAAGTTCGGTTCGTCGGGATTAATCGACGAATCCCTGTCTCTTCGCGGTGTCGCTTTTGTATATGGAATTCGTTTGCATTGCGATGGATCGAAATGAAAATTAGCAAAAGATGAAGCAAGGTTTTTATTTTTTTCTAACGGCGATTAGAATTTTTTTTCAAATTAGAAATTTAGTTTAGATCGATCAGATTTCGTTTCCTTCGATTTAATATTAAGTCAAAACTGTTAATAAAATTAATATTGATCTCTCTGTACAATTCTCAATTCTATTCGAAAATAATATTCTTCGAGAAGAATTATTCGCCATCAAATCCGCACAAAACTTTCGTTTCCTCCTCCCTCCCCGCTGCAACTTCGATTACGAATCTCCGATTAAAATAGAATTTCGGAAGAAGTTTAATTCTCCTAAATCCTTTCCCAACCTTGCACCAATCTGAAATCGGTTAAATCGTTAAGAAAGAAAGGAACCGCGGGTCGCGGTTTCCGGGAGACAGATTCATTTTCGTCGAGGTTAGATAACAAATAAATACCCTCCTATTCTTCCATTTTCCTTCGCTTCTCCATCGCCGGTATCTTTAATCAGATTTAGAAGAGAGAAAGAGAAAGAGACAGAAAACCGGTTCACCCACGATATAATCGCGCTTTCGTTAAACACACAGCCCGACCTCCTATCTTCTCCTACGAGACGAGCAATTACGATTGTTTCGAGTCACGGGCCCTCCGATATTTGCCTCGCCTATCCGTGACCCTGCAAATTGCTACGTGGCGGCGAGATGATAAAAGAAAATCTCTGGCGCCCCATAGGCCGCAATTAACGTTGTTGATTAAATTAATTTAACCAAATTACAGACGCGATGATTCCTTGATGATCTTTCGCGTTTAAGCGGTGACAAATGTCGCGTTATCATTTCGTATCTCGCGCTGTAATAATTCCGCGAATTGCTCTGCTTGATGGGAAAACGATGTGGTTAATTAAACCGTTATTAATTAAATTAATCGAATTACAGGGGGAAGGAAATTTCGCGGCCCAAATTGAGCCTCCCTTTGCGTCTGCCTTTCGTTCGAGCATCGACACACAAATATTATTAATTCGCAAGTCGAATCGATCAAATTTTGAAGCAATTCTTTCCCGCATCGCGTTATCTTTCCTCGCACGAGTTAATAGTTTCTTCTCCAAAATAAAATAAAATATTCTCTCCATTATTCCTATTCTAATCCAACAATCATCGCCCGAGTATGTTTCCTCCTTAACTTAATTACTTCCATCATCGCATCACAACAAACCAGCATAAGGAAATTTACGATTCCTACGTATATCCCTACAACTGCCCGAATCTCGCCCGATCGACCAATTACACCGAAAAACAGTTCCAGTTCTTGGTTCCTCTCGAGGATGATATCTCGAGCTCGATCTCCACCAAAAAAAGAGAGAGAGAAAAACAAAAAATCTTTCTACGGTGGCGCACGATTTCCAGAGGCGGCTCCTCGTATCGCGCCAACCAATCGACCGGTTATATTTTCAGTCGGTGGCCGTTCTTCGAAAAGAAGAGCGAGGGGCGAGGAGTCCGGTAGCGGGACACGCATGCATCGAACTGGCGGCGGGACAACGCGCAACGTGAATTCCTCGTTAATTGAGATGCCAAGCAAGGACTCACCCTTTAACCGGGACCCCAACGATAAATTCCTCCTTCTCCGTGTTATCTCTTGTCCACGTATCTCTTCATCCAGATTCGAGGGGAGGGGGACGGAGGGGTGAAATGCCGTAAGAGAATGACTCTTCCACCGCATTATACACCTTATGGGCTACCTCTTCTCGGTAGTAATATCACTGTATAATTACAACTTCTGCGGTTACGAGCAGGCCGCCCATTTTTCTTATCTTTCCAACGGCCGTGACCGGCCGCAGGACCGCTTCCTTCTCACTTGTAGCGAACATAATAAGCTTCTATTCCGGCTCCCTTTATCTGATGCACCGCACACTTATACGGAGAGGAGTAGTTCGAGCCACGAAGACGCTCCGCGCTATTTTCCTTATTGGCAAACCCCCTCCTTCCCGAGGAAAAGGAATCGATGGTGGTGGTGGCTCTCTTTTTCGAATTTTCCCGGTACTGGATTCTGGAAAAAAGGGAAGTTTGTTAGATTAGATTTTGGACTCGTTTCGAGATCGTTGGAAATATTAATATCATATGATATTTTTTTTTTAAGAACCGTGTCACGAATTATTCTTGAATGTACAAATTTACGTTATATTTTCGAAGGTAATAGGATTGTAAAATTATGCGAAATTCGTTAGATGACGTTGGAGGCAGCAAGTCGAACGATACTCGTGATTTGGAATGACATGGTTTATCGAAATATCGGATCGAGGAAAGAATCAGAGACGATATTGGACCGTCTGATAATTCATTCGATTTTTTTTTTGTAATAATGCTTAGCTGTTTATAAATTCGTGTTATTTTCGTTGCGACAAAACGGACGATTTATGCGTCTCTGGCGTGCCACTGTCGAACATTTTCCCACGGTGAACGTAACGTTACTTGTCACCTGAATATGCACGCACGCACACGCCCTCCTCTTTTCTATTTCTCCCTTTTTTTATTTTCCCCATTCATCGTCCAGGGGCCAATTGGATTTTTCCTCGAGCTGTGTGCCACGCATCGAAATTTCGTCGCACGGCGAAAATGTAAAATGTAAAATGCGAATGTTAATGTTCACTCGTTCGAAAGCTAAGATTAAAAGCGAAGGATTAAAATATTATTATTAAAACTTTACAAGAAATTATACGTTTTGCACGAGATGAATTTGATTTCGATTTATATCTGTAATTTAATATTTCGTCGTAATTTTTGACTCTGATCTGTAAATATATTTTATTACCCGGCAAACTTTGTAACGAATAAACTTAATACGTGACTTTTGATGATTTTGATGATGGGAAATTTAAATTGGCAAATATAGACACGATCAAAATACACGAGATTTTGATGGATAAATTTATTAAATCAATTTTGTTTAATATGTTACAAACCCCAAAAGATCAAACAAATCCAATCCACTAAAATCGTGTAATAAGATAGAAAATACTTTTCGTTTCAATCTCAATTTGCGATCGATCGTTTCTTTTCGACTGGAAGAAATTTCAATTCGACGAAATTGGATTCGATCGACAAGAATAGCAATAGCACCTATCGCGACCTAAATCAATCGACGTGTCAAAGTTCATTCACGAGGCGAATTATGGAAGCAGCATTATGGATAAATAATCGCCGCATCGACGATTGTTCCCGAATCATAAATGGAATCGTAAATACGAAATTTGAAATGGCGCGTGTAAAGCTTCGATCCCTAGTTTTCGATCTATCTAATTGCGCTTAGAATTTGCCCGCTAGGAAATTAGCAAATAATTTTGAACCGGATATCACTTCTAGATCGTTATCTACGATATCACGTTGTATACATTGCAATCGAGAATTTCGTCGAAGCGATTTCGATGCACGATGATTAATATCCAAACCATTTTGCATATAATTATTTACCGACCAATAATATTAATTGACAAGTTGCGAGATATGTATGTATAGATCGTATGTATCGATTCGACGATGTGTTGACTTTTGGGACCTTATTACGCACATGACGGTATTTAATGGATCTAGACATCGATATCTAGCTATCGATCGATATCTATTATAACTTTACTTTTATTTCGTTCACAAATTTTGTGGATTAATAGTCACGATACTTTCGATCTTTCAGACACGACACAGCTTCTTCCTGTTTCGAATCGATATTCCCAATGTAACGCGGGCTTTCTTTTCTCTAAAAATCTTGCAGCCACGACTTTAAATTCAATGTTCCACGCTTTGACACAATTTCTTTCTTTTCCTCTTTCAAGAAAGAAAAAGAATCGATTATAGTTCCAATTTATTTATACGATCTGAAAAATATTCGCCGATAATCGTGAGATTATAGTAGTAGGCATCGATATAAGTAACAAGATAACGGAATAACAAGTTGTTCGGGCAAGTGAAGTTCCTAAATACACCCTAAAATGGGAAACGAGAGCGTTGAAACTCGTGGAATTCGTGGTTCGCGAATAAAATAAGCGGAACTGCGAGTAACTGCGAATCTCGAAATATGCGGCTACCAAGGGAAACGCCGCGGGCTTCCGGTTACCGAGCGGCAATTAGTCGGTATTATTAAAAGGAAAAAATGTATTCACCCCCTCCCCCTCCCTTAGCCGGTTCCAAGGACGTCTGGCGAGCGTTTCGCTAAATTGTTTCGCATTCTTGGCCGTCGTTAATAGAATTATCCGAGTTTCGACGCGAAAATTCTGCAGACGGCGAATGAATTAAGAGACCGGAAGGGAGGGAGGGTTGGAGGGAAGAAAATGGGTATGGAACAACGAAAACGAATCCATTTTCATGCTCTTCTTCCCCTTTTTTGGGATCGATCGAGTTACGGCCTGTGGAAAATGGCCGAGTAATTGCGAACGTAATATCGTGGTGGTGGTTGTAAATTTCCCAAAAATCGCGGCCAGCCTCTGGTTAATTAAAAGATCGGTTTGATCGGAACCAAGGTGAGCAGCAGATCCCATTTGGGTTTCATCGAATCTCGTCGACGATTGCTTTTAGTTATATCTGTTTACAGGTTGATCGTTTTCTTTTTTTCTTTTTTTCTTTCTCTGAAAATCACGTTGAATTTCCACTGTTTCTTATTCTTCAAATTCTGTTTCGATGGAAACTTATTTCGAATTCTTTTAAATTACGTGATGTCAATTTCAAAACGTTGAAAGATCTTTGAACTTTCAGCATTTCTCACTCTTCTATCTTGTTATATATTCCTTAATTTTTTCCTTTTTTTTCTTGTATTTCATCATGAAAGTATCACCAAAAGTTCTTATTCCCATAATAAAAATCTACCTGGTTATGGTTAATAATTAACCATTTTTTTCACGTTTTCATAGTTTCTAAAAAACAAAGCAACACGAGTTAACCTAAATATCAAGTTGCATATACGAAGTAAAAGCGATAGAAAGTTGGCAGACGACTGGCAGGATGGTGCAATCCTACGAGTTTTCCTCGTCAAAAACAGTCGGCCATGGCATAGCTATCAGCATCCTTAATGTCGAAACTTTTCGCGCTGGCAGCGTTATCTGCGCCAAATAAACGAATTTACCCGGAGTTAACCGCGATAATAAAGTTCCTCCTCCTCTTTGTCCCCCTTCTTTTTCCTCCCTTTCCGCTCTTTTGTTTCTCCTCCTCCTTCTCTTCCTCTTTCTACCCCGTGAGACGACGTGACGACAGGGCATGAGACGGACAACAAGGGTTGGAGAAGTTGCCGATAACGATTCCACGTTGAGAATAAAGGGAGCCAGGCTGGAAGAATAATGATGTCGGTGTTGTTGTAAACTTTAACCGTGTCCACCGATATTCGAAAATTACGACTACCCTAATCTGTCGATCGAAGGAGACGTTGATCTAAGAGGAGACGATAAACGTGGTATTTGGGCTGGAATTACGATGTATTTTTCATGGTTGTTAAAACCATGTAATAAAGAGAGAAAAGTATTCGTGTTTTGTAGCTGCGGAGCAATCATTTTCTTTCTTTCTTTTTTTTTGCTTTTAAGCTTCGTGAAGAACTCGTAGTTTTTGCTCAAAGCTACTTAAAAACAGTGTCGGTCTCCAAACGTTGGTCTTTCGTATCTTCTTTTTTATTACTGGCTCTTGTGTCCAGGCAGAATTCATTTTGTTGCTCTTTAATGTAAAAAGTTTGCAAACGATAAAATGTTTTGTCTCAATCCGAAGAACGATTCAATAAAATTTAATGAAACGTAGCTCTTGATTTCTTCAAATTTCAATAGAGAAATTATAGTTATTCGAGAAGACGTTATGATCATTGGCAATTTGAATATCTTTCGTTAATATCTGTCGTTTGGATTTACAAAATAAAATTACAGATTGCGTGCATTAAATTTCCCACGTATAAATATCCACAATCTACTCCTTGAAAAGGAGTACGTATAAAAAAAAAAAGGGGGGAAAAACATCTTTACAAATTTGTAAAACCTTCCATAAACATCCCCTTATCTATTTCCCCAGTTCAAAGGGAATGCGTATGATAATTAAACCGGCACAAAGAGCATCGAAAAACGAGGAGGGTGATCCGACGAAAGAGGGTAGAAACTTTTCGACGGCTCCTCCTCCGGCTGTCCTTTAGCAATGGAGTCAGTCGACCTTAGAAGCAAGCACAAAAGGCCGCGCTTCGACGATCAACTCGTCCAGTATCCCACCACCCTATCCATCCACGGGATCGCCTCGTCCCCCTTTTCGCGATCAAACGCGTGCCCCACGTGTCATCCCGGTTGTCATTCCGCGATTGTCAAACGGATCTAATGCCGGTATAACACCCGTCAGGTGATGCTCCAGGCTGGGTTTTTTTCTTTTCGGGGTTCTTTGTGGGACATTATAAGAGTAATAAGCCTGATGTGAAAATTGGAGTGAAAGGGGTTGTCACGAGGGGTAGATTTTTTCAAGCGATAATTTTTGTGATTTTTGGCTGTCGGAAAAAAAAATTGTGTATTTTTGCACGAGGTTGTATAATTTCATATATAATTAAATGTCATCCTGAATATTTTGGAAACAAGCGGAATAATTTTGGAGGAAAAATGGAAATGGAAATGAAAGTTTTTCAGAGAGACGAGAAATTCTGGATTCTTCGATAATTATTTTTAGAAAAAATATAAAAGTGTTTGTATATATAGTTAAAAAAGAAACGAAAAGAATTGATATATTTATATGTAAAAGGGTAGAGTGGAGAGAGTGATTTCCTAATTTTTAAAAAATTTCACGCGATAAAATTATTACTGTAATTTGTTTCGTATGTTCGCACGCGCGATTCGGATCGCTGATATACGCTAACAAATCATTTTCGAACAAAATCTATATCGTGCTTTCCATGCGTATTACATTCACGGTTTATAAATTATTTAAGCTTCTTTTTAATTTCGTGATTTCAAATTTCCATTTTACATTTATACGCGTGCTGATGAAACGATTTTCACGTAAAACCTATTTGTATCCCTACGTGTTTCTTTTAATTTTATTAATTATTAT